CAAAGAAAACAATCCATGCACAAGTCGCACGAACGTGACCAAGTCTTATTGGCCCGTGGCCATAATTACGCACAGCTCAAAAGGATTTATAATTCTTGCTAACTGCTCGTATTGGCAATTGGCATCTCATGAGTGTGTATTTAGAGTCTTACGGCTGGAGCAATGAGCCATGGCGAGTGAAAAATATTATATTGCAAATATATCGAAGGCATTAGAGCCAAATGCCAAGTAAAAGTCTCTCTCTGTTCCAATTCATCTATAGAAACTCAAATGAGTCAAGGCATAATCTGAATCTGAGTGTGTTTGAATCGATTCATTTGTATAACATTTAATTATTTTATTTAGAACTTATAAATAAATAGCAAACGCGTGATTCATAATATAAGCACTTGGTCTGTTATGAAACCACAAAAGTTTTGCGTCATGCACAAAAAATTGTCAATGAATAAGTTCTTGTTTCCAAGTACTAAGTGTTAGCTGCATTTGTCGAAAAGTCCATTCATAAATCGTTGAACCGAATTGCCTTAAGAACTGTCGGACAGTGGGCGGGGCGGGGCGGGGGCGGATGTCAGCATTCTTGTTGTCTCCAATTCAAGCATAAATATTTATATAAACCCGAGCAGGGGCGGCACAAGGGGATTAGCCGGGGTAAGCAAGGCTGCTGCGTGAAGGGGGCTGTGGAAACTATAACAAACAAAGAAATCCAAAGACTTGAAAATTAAGTGAAATGAAATTCTTGTGGCAGCAGACAAATGATAATAAATATAAAGAGTATTCGGAATTTGGGCCAGGGGGTGTGGCAAACAGCCACGCTGCCAGCGAAAGAGAGAGGGAGATGGGGTTAGGACAGGCGAGGGGGAACTGAAAGGCTGCCGGCACTTGGGAGCACTTGTGATAATGATGACTAATAAGGGGACCAAACAAAACCAGCCAATGACTCCAAAAATAAGAAAAAAAAATATCCAAATTAAACAGAGTATTATTGAAGAAGTGGAAGACGCAGAAGAAGCAGCAGCTAAAAACAAACACAGCTGCAATCAGGGTTAGACGGGAAGGGGCTGCAGCTCGAAAGACAACAAACTTCTTTCGCACTCAAACTGCTTCCATTTCGCTGACTTAAGCGATTCGACTGTTGTTGAATGGGGTATATATATCCTTTGTACATGAAAGATAGTCGCTTGGGCGCTGTTTAATGTCAGATGAACTAGTTCCAAGTTAAGCATTGCCGAAAATGATGTTCCATTGAACAAATTAATTTCATATCAAACCGAAGTCTATTATCAAACTGGAACTAGTTGCTATAAATTATGTAAAGAACTAGTTCCATGTTGGCAAAGGCTTTACGCTTGACTTCAATGTGTATTAGCTGCAGAAAATTATGAGCTGGTTCCGTCCATCAAGTGACTTCCCTTTATTTTCGCATGACAATCAATACAATATTCAATTATAAATATAATTTCAAATGAAAGCAATCAAATTTCTATGAGATCTTCAGGCTGCGGGCAACCCGCTGCGACTCGAGAGCATTTCAAGTGGGTTAAACGGCCGAAAGGGTGGGCGTGGTGCCTTGATTGCCACTTGAAAGGGTTTTTCGACTCGAAGGCGAAGTGAGGCACTGGTTCCGTTTTGCTGTGGCAATTGAGGCGACACGCGCGTCGCATTTATGCGGCAATTAATGCTTAAATTTAATTAAATGCATTCGACGAGTCGATGCGAGCTGGGTGTGAGGCGAGTCTTAATTGCTTTTAGAAGCTGCAAGTGCAACTCCGAATACTCAATCGCGCCCACTCCCGATCTAGCTGTCTTTCATGCCGCAGGAGAGCTGCACTAATTGATAAGCTAAGTGCCAAGTGGCATTAAATCAGCCAACGTCTCTCTCTCTCTCTCTCTCGCTCTCTCTCGCTCGCTCGCTATCTCTGCCTCTCTGACAGCGACTTCATTCCGTTCCACATAAAACACACAAAGCGCAGAGTTTACCAAATTTTGAAAATTCCAGCAACATTAAATACTGTTTTATGGACTCCGAGTTGTAGTTTGGGGAATACTCTGCTGCAGGGGCTCAAGATTTATGGATTGTCGGCGCTCTATGCACAGATTTATGTTCTACGAGGCAAACAAGCCGCAGATTTGTCGTCGTCATTTGGCTCTTCTGCTTCTTTGTTTGCTTGGCTTGTTTGTTAATGTGAAAGCAGGTTTTTTTTGCCTTTAAGTTTAGTATATAGTTTTGGTATACCCTGTAAAATGATTGAGTGTGCTTGACAAGCCATTAATGATTTGACTTCGCTATGCCTCAAAGAATTCATTGACTTTTACAGCTTTTGTGAGTGAGCCAGCATTGCGAGTCGGATAGGGTCAATTGACTAAATTAGCCCGAATATATATATATATATATATATATATATATATATATATATATATATATATATATATACTTAGACCTGAACATTTATTAATCGATTAATATGTAACTTATATAAGCCTCTATATATATTTTGCCTTTGCTGAAAGATTTGCTTCAACCTTCATTTCCACAGCTACCTCTGAATCCTAAGACCTTAAGATCGAGTATAATCTATCTATAATACAGTTGTTGATTGTTGAGCAATACATTGCAACCCATCAATATACATATAGCAATTTTAGCTAACTCCAACCTGCTGTCACTTTGGTAATTCGTTAGAATATACAACAGAAAGACTCAAATCAAGTAGTTTGTTTCTTTGACCAGATGTAGAGCTTGGCTATATAATCTAGCCTAATAAAACGTAATTTTTTATACTTTCTAAATGTATTGTCCAAAATGATATTGATACAGATACATATCTAAGCCAAGTTATAACACTTTCAATAAACATTTTGGTTACTTCAGTTTTCTTAATGATGCATCTAATTGATTCAAATTTGTCGCTTAGAAATACTGAGGCCACGTGCACCGTACAGATTACAGGTCATCGCGCAGTCGTGCACGGCCGCACCGGCAACACATGCTTATGTTTTTGTTATACATTTTTGTTCAACATTTCATTACCAAATCTCGCAGGTTGACATGGAACTAAACATGCTAAATGAGCAGCCAACTGGCCGCGACCCCAAAGAGCCGAGACTCAGCGCAGAGCCAAAAGGCCGCTTACCTGCTCGAGGTGAGAGTGGGGCAGCGGGAGCGGTCTGAGGTCGATTTACACAAACGTGACACGCGGAGGCTATAAAAAGCGGCATGAGAATGCGACCTGCAGTGTTGCATAGTGTCGCACGACAGCAACTAGTGTTGGCAGGGGAGCAGGGCAACGTTATGCGGGCAGTGCGGGCAGAGGACTGGACCACGGTCCTGTCTGAAAGTGCCTGAATCAGGTCTGGCCAGTTGTTGGCTTAGTTGGCTGACTTTGATGGTTCAGTGGGTGTGCATTAAGATATTCAAAAGCTATTACGATCGCACTGATGGCACCGACGAGAAGTTCATAAATTTTGTAGCCCGAGAACAAGTTCTCAGCTTTTATTGCCCGGCCAATGAGACGAGAGTTTTGCAGGGGTTTGCGCTGCTTTTTTGCTTCTCCACACTATTTAGTTTCCGCCGAGTTCAAATGAGTTTGACTTTTTCCTCTAAAACTTTCTTATGGCTGTCGCCATTTGGTCTTTTTCAGCTCTTAATTAGGCAAAGAACTAGTTCGCAAAGCCCCTTAACAATTGTGAAAGCGGTTTGAAACAAACAACATTTAAAGCCACATCGTAAAAGCTGGCGAAACAGTGTAAAAACTAGAGGCCAGTGTTGGGTAATGTGCGGGCCAAGTGTCAATTGGTAGGCGACAAACAGCAAATGACTTGGGCTTGCCCTCAACTTTAGCTTGCCTGCAGTTGGTGTTGTCGTTGCAGCAGTCGGGCTTGGGGCACTTAAAGACGCAACATGCGGCATGTGGCATGTGGCAAGGTGTAGGTGCCTAGGTGCCGCATTTAATGGCCACCATAAAGTCGCAATTGCCGCTGCTGCCGCTGGAGGATAATGAAGTTGCATGTTTACACTGTGCTACGTGGGTGAAGCAACATTTCCTTACCAATAAATAATACCCTAAGTCCATTCAAAATCGTGTCGGCAGACTACAATATGCCTTCATTCCTTTAGGCGAAAGGAAAACCCCTTATGCTTTTACATCATAGGCAGCAAAAGCCTTTTGATGGCTCCCGTAATATCGATATATATCGATTTTGAAATATAACTAAATCATATCTGGAAGTGTATACGAAAAGAAAGCATGACATTTGGATTCTTGTATATCGCATGCAAATTAAGCATATCGCTAGCTCTGTCACTATCGATACAAATCGATAAATCGATCTAAGTATAGCAGTTGTCTTATAAGAACAGAAACTGTTCAAAAATGTTTGAATCCTCGCCACAGCATCGCGACGCTGACTACAGTGTATCTGTCCGTCGGGCACTGCCGATAAAAGTACTTTTGTAGTGTTCCTCAAGACTCTGCATGGCTATCTGGCTGCCTGTCTAGCTCATTTGCAACATCTTTTCGTGTTGACGCGCCCAATTCAAGGCATCACCTGTCCCTGCCGCCCTCTTCCGACTACACCTCAGCCCGCTCAGGTGTCGAGACTGCGCTTCGAGGTTTATTGCTAATGTAATTACATTTTGGCAAGCCCCTGCATGCGCATTGAGCAGAAAAAAGGTGCATTGAACTGGTTCCACCTACAAAATCGATTTGATTGTGCGCTGACCAAATGTCTTCGTCTCGCTTCTTCTCTTGCCCCACTTAAGAAGGTGCTCCTGAACTCCTGTGACACCTGAGCACTTCGAACCACAAAGCGATGTCTGTCGGTCGGGCCCTATCGCAGCATAGCTTTGAAACCGCAAACACTCATTGTGTGTGCACCGTTAGCTGATCACTAGCGATTAATATCGATCGTGTGATCGAGCTGGCCTCTTAGCTAATAAAATGTCTTTCGGTTGTCATTGAAAGAATCTATTATATGTTCCACTCTTGTTCTTCCACTTACAGTTTGCTTGTAGGCGCTCCACTGGATCGAAATAAACAGCCAAATACCACGCAATCGGGGGCTTTATACATGTGTCCGATCAGCACGGACTTCAACGATTGCGAACAGATCATAACGGATGGCCGACGATGTAAGTAGAGCTCCAACTTTATGGCAATACTAGAGTCGAAATATATATATATATATATATGCCTAGATAATTAGATGTTAACACTACGTATATAATTTATGATTAGCTTATGTCTAGATTATTATTTCTCATATTTTTTCGAGCACAAAAAAAAAATCGGTTAAAAAAATCTGGAACCAAAAAACTAATGCTAAATAAAAAATAAATAAAAAACTAATGCTATAGAGGTGAAGGTTTTTGCAAGAATAAGATTTGAATAAGGAACTGTATTAATCAGCTAATATTATGCTAATATAGGACGAAACTAACCAGGAAAAAGGAGTTAAGCAGTTAAGTGTCAGTCAGCTTTATCTAAATCGAAATGCCGAGTGACTAACTGATCTGTCATAGCTAACACTGAGTGTAAGATGTCAAGGTCTCCGATCATATTATCTAGATCGGTCTTAGGCTTAGGTGAGCTTCTTGTATGTACATAAAAGCCCATGTATAAAAACAAAAGAAAAATGTGACTAAAAACTTTTTAACACACTCTATATGTCTTTAGTAATTTAATATAGTCTACCATAGCTATATGTATATATATCTCAATTTATATATATATATAGCTATTTTTTATAATATTTTATTGTATAGATCTAGTATTTTAGTGACATTTGTTTTGTTTTTATTCAAACACCAACAAAATATTTATTTGCGTTTTTTTAATTTTCTTTTCTTTCTTTATTTTTGTTTTTGTTCTCTTTCCTTACGTAAACCCCCTAAACCCACGCACATATATATATATATAAACCTATATATATATATGCAATATGTATATTCGGTGCGCATATGGAAAACTCATATACCTATATCCCAAAAAAATACTCTCAACCAAAATTATTGACAAACTATTTTCGATATTTTTAAAAAATGAAAATCGAAAAAAAAACGAATTTATCATTTAGCATCTGGCGGAGCTTATGAACCTAGTAAGTGGTATGGGTGCTTTATTTGTTGTTGTTTTGCCCACACATAAACGAAAAAAAAACCAAAATTTTCAACCAAAAAAAATCAGTAAAAACTAATACACAAATTTGAGCGTTTCATTTGATTGTTAATAAAGCACTTTTTTATTTGCATTTGCTTTGACTGATTTCTCACACTTAGCTATAAATATATATATATGTGTATATATATGGTAATCTCTAACTATATCGATTAACTGATTGAGGGGCGATGGCAATTGGCAACCATTCAATCAGCATTTGCAATCGATAAACACACACAAATACGCACTCACACTTTACCTGTATATAAAACCGCGATAACTTATCGATCGATCGCATGCCAATCAGAAACTAACAGCACATCTTGTGTTGGCCGCCATTTTTTTTTATATGTGAATGCATGCACAAATACTATGTTTAAGCCTATATGATAATAATAATAATAATATATAAATAATATATATATAATATAACCACTATCTTACATCGATGCTGGAGCGCTACCTATGTTAACTACATACATATTGATTTACAACCCACTTGTAACTATTACCAGCAATTCAGTTGACACATTTCGCATTTAACTAGTTCAATGTTCATCAATCATCGGCCAGCATTGTGAGAACTTGTGGAACTAGTGGAACTAGTGAACGAGCGCATGATCATAGGTTAAAGTCCGCACTGGAATTTTGTGTTTAGCTTTAGGGCTAGTTTCGCTTCGCTCAAAGCTAACAGCTCGTTGGCCGCTTGTCCCATATATATATATTTATATATATATATATATCAACTATAAGCCTCTAATCGACTTTGCCTAGCTAAGCTTAATCATGCTCGAGAGCAGCCAACCTAATGCAATGCAGCGCACATCGTCAGCCTTATACTCCATCAACACATGCTTAACTCTAACAATTTACTGCTTTTTCTTTATCTGACTTTGAGCTCCATGATTGGAACTTGTTTCTTATGGGATTATTTGGAAATCAAATTTCGTTTTATCTTTAAGCTAAAATTAGAAGTCAAAAATTATCGAATCGAGCAGGCAATTCCTACTAATGCGATGAATACCCTAGAAAATCAGCGAAGTCTACAGAGAGTAGCTATATATATAGATATCGATAAATATCGATGATGAAAGCTGTTTCTATATACCAAGCAAATACAATTTAGTGTGTGGCAGCTACAGGGTATACGCTAGTCAAACAATTCCAGTTGTTAACTAGTTTTACTTGGCTGTCGATTTGCATTTCTGGAATGTTGTAGTACTTCCCGACAATCCTCCTCTCTCCCCCTTTCTCTCTTTCACTCTCGCTTCGTCTTGATTGTTTATTAGTGAACAGCTTCTCAATATATTTTATCACTGCTTAGGCATTTCCCCGGTTTGCCTGGCAGCTGTGAATTGCTTTTTTCGATGCGCTAGCTAGATATATACTTATATAGCTAGGGTACACAAAGCTCGTAGAACATAATGTAACATAGTAAGTTTTTGTATATAATTAATCGGTGTGGACAATCGACATTTTTGACTCAATGTGTCGAAGTTAGTACTTAAGAGATCATTTTCAATATTCGCAGCATATAACCCTCACTATATAGCTAGGGTATTTGACAGTCGCATTCACCTGATCGCTTCGCCCAGGGAGCGGGTGCGGGAGCTATTTACCAATTGGCGACTCATTTAGCATTAATTATATTTACTCAGCTCCAAATTATTTAAATATTGTGCTGTAAATTCATTTGCTGCAACAGCTGTGTTTGGGGGCCTTTGCAACCACCGCCACACCCCTGCGTCTGTGCTGCTCTGGCGGCAGCAGCTCATAATGTGCCGTTCGCATTCCAAATGTTTGCGTAGCGGCGACTGCGGCGACGACGTCTGTGCCCGTTTTGCAGTTGGTATACCCTGTTTGTGGCATGGCAAACGGGTGTACCATATGTCGGCCATTAATAATTGTTGTGGCAAGCAGAAAATGTGAATGTAATAAACAGGGTATGCGCTAGTCGAGCACTCCGCAACATTCTTACTTGCTATTGCTGCTGCTATTTGTGGCCTTTGCTATTGGTAACGCGAGGCAATCAGAGCGTGTTGCTGGCTGTGGCACAGACGCTGCCTCTGCCTCTACCACTGCCGAACGTGACAAATTTTACAAAATGCAAAGGAAGAAGCAGCAAGAGCTAAATAAGAACAACAGCCGCGCATAAAAATAACTGCGGCACAATGCAAAATTTGTGTGGCATGTAAAAATTCTTGTGCGACAAGCGTCTCGACATTATTGAGCCAAATACCACCCATAGCAATGGTCACCGCTGCCAACGCCGCCCACTGTCAATGTCAAAAACGCGCCGCAAAGTGCAAAGTTCACAGGGCCTGGGACAACAAGAAAAAAATAGAGATTGGGAGTTAGAGAGAGAGAGAGATAGAGAGATAGACGAAACTCCTACAGACACAAAGAAGCACATGTACAGCCGTGGTAAACCAGCTGCAGCTGCGCCTGGGACCCACGCGCTTAATTTTTGTCAGCTGCAACGCGCGACTTTCACTTTGCGCGTCAAAACCCGTCAAAGCTGCCGCCAGAACAGCCCACGCGTTCAAAAAGCTAGTCAAAGCCGCTAGAAATTCGAAAACATAAATGATAAACGTAATGATCCTTGCGCAACTCTCCTCAGTGAATCTCCACTCTCTTTTTTGCGCTGGCTCTCTCTCTCCGCCTCTCTTTGAACGCTACGGGCGCGCTGTAATAATCATTTATCATATTTCAACACTTTGATGCTTTAAAATGCATTTTAAATCAATTTCGTTACGTTTCACACATATTAACGCTCTCCTACTCTCCCATTCTCCTACTCTCCCACTCTCTCTTTTTTCTTCATTTCTATTGCGCATGTGTGCGTGGTTCAGGCGCAAAACACTAAAAACTCCAATGTCGACGTCGCTGCTACTGCGCTGCTGATGTCACGGCTGCATTCTATCAAAAGCTGACAGCGACGTTGGCAGCGCTTTCCATTTTTGTTGTTGCTTTTTTTTTCTGTTTTCCTCTCTGCAAATGCAAATGCTGGGCATGCATATCTTCTGCCTGGGGTATATATGCTGCATAACTCATAACTAACTTTTTGAAAACGTATTTATTTTGCATGACTGATTTGTTAATTGAACCATAATAAGCGCTAATATCTTTTCTTTTTTTTTTGCACATCTTTTTTTGCTGATTATCAATTTTGTTATTATCATGCTAAAACGATTTGCGTAGCATTTTGTAGTCGAGCAGACGTATGATAACCGCTTCCAACATTTTTTTCATGCTTCGTTACTCGAACATTTTGTTTGCACTTGTTGCTGTTTTGGTTGTTGTGGTCGATGTTGTTGATGTTGTTGTTGTTGTTGCTGCTGCTGCTGCTGCTGTTGTGCTGCACATGTGTTGCTCAGCTCAACTTGTTTATGCAGACATCTATGAAAAGAGCAGCCCCCTTTGTCCCCTTCAAGCTTGAACCGCAACGCACATGTGTTGACTGCGAGGTCTACCTCTTCTTGCCCGCTCTCTTTGTCTCTCTGATACTCTTTCTTGGCTCGTATTATTTAACAGCTGTTAACCGCTTTACAGCCCCAATAGTTGCTGCTTTTCCCGCTCGCTGTAAATGTAGCGTAAATTTGAGTTTAGCTTAGAGATTTTCTGTATATTTTTAGATAAATAAACAAAAATAAAAAACAATCTAATTGTACATATGAATACATAATTACATATTCTTGCATACTATATTACTATCGTTGTTATTGATGTTGTTGTTGTTGTTGATGTTGTTTTTGTAACTGATGCGACACACACACAGATACACACACTCGCACACACACGCACACACAATTTCGTCACACAATTTGCTAACAACAACAAACCTAATTTTTGCACTTTTTATCTGCTGCCGTCTGGCGCCACCTGCAGCCTACGATGTCGACGAACTAGTACCGCCATCTAGCGACGAGATCAAAGAGGGTCAATGGATGGGCGTAACTGTACGCTCCCAAGGATTAGCCAGCAAAGTAAGATCAACGTGAGTTAATTGAACTATATGAACAGAGATTCTTAATTTGTTTTCCCGATCAGGTGCTCGTCTGTGCTCATCGCTATGTGACAATACAGCGAGAAAATCGCTATGGACAGGGCCTCTGCTATGTGCTGACCAACGATTTACAGTTCGACGAGGTCTACGAGCCCTGCAAAGGACGCCCCACTCAGAGGTAGGTCGAAAAAAATAAACATTAAGCTTTGCAATAAATTGAGTTTGGAAGAGAGTTAAGATTAGAAAGGCTATTTCAGATTTCTAAAATAGAGAATCTTGGATTACTAAGAAAAACTATAGTTGTAGCGAAAAGATACCCAATTTGGGGAACTCTATAAGCTATATAATATCTGCCTACATACGAAATTATGATTTCCAATTTTCGGAAACGATGTAAATAAAGCAAGAGGAAAAACATAAATTTCCCAAAAATTAATCCATTCGGAATGGTAAATTTGTCATGGCCAGGTTCGACTCATGCCTAATACGAACCCTACTCCTGCTTTGACTGCATTAACAAAAAAGTGTCAAGGTGAAGTGCCTATAAAGATATTTCAAAACTCAGTCAGCGTGGGTTGGGAGAGGACGGAAAAGTAGGAACTCAGCGCGTGTCTAACTTCAGTTTAGGCCAATTAGCATGCAGCGTGTGTGGTGCGTGGTAGATGTTGGGGCAGGAGGAGGACTACAAATATGGTGACAGGAAAGGACAACTCAAGGGTAGGGGCAGCACGGACTAGCTGGTCAGGCGTGACTGCGATGACGTCGCCGTTGCAGGGGAGAAATTTCAATTTATTTAAATGTCAGCGCATGAGGCAACGCAAGCGGCCGTCAGATATGAATCGGGTAGGGTAGGGGTACGGGTAGGGATAGGGCGATTATGCTGTGGGGGCTTGCCTTGCGTAAACAGGGTCGCACCGCACCCAAAAAATACAATAGAAATAAAAACAAAAACAACGAATAAACTGCTATGTGATGTGATATGGCACATATGAGACATGCTCCCATGGAGATGACGTGGACTTGGACATGGACATGGACTTGGACATGCAATTTTTCATTGCGCTGGCATCGCGTGCCTGGTCCTGGACTCATTATACACTGTTCTTGAAAGTATAAACGCGGTACACTGGACCTGAAATGAACACGACTTAGAGTGGCCTAGCACTAAAAAGGTATCCTTAGTATATAATATATATATAGGACTAGTCCTAGAACCTAGTTCAACAGTAAGCCGCCTGTTCTAGTTTCCCTTCCACCGTTAGGCTTCGTAGGGCACACTCGAAAAAGAGCATTGCGGCGTGGGTAACAGCCGACGTACAACTTGCTTACTCATTCATTAATGCCACAAACCCATTTAGGCAACACGAGGACTACGGCTTCTGCCAGGTGGGCACCTCGGGCGCCCTGCTGGATGACAATACCATGGTGCTGGGCACTCCGGGCCCCTTCACTTGGCGCGGCGCCATTTTTGTGACGGAGGTCGGTGGCGAGTATCTGCAGCGGGATAAGAACATGTACTACAGTGATCACTCGGATGCCTCGTCGCCCGTGGACAAGTACAGCTATCTGGGCATGGCCGTAACGGGCGGTCGCTACTTTGGCGAGAAGATGTCTTATGCGGCTGGCGCGCCACGCTCGAACGGCCACGGTCAGGTGGTCATCTTCGACAAGGCCAACACGAGTCCCATACCAGTGCACATGATCATCGACGGGGAGCAGTTCGCCTCCAGCTTTGGCTACGAGCTGACTACGGTGGACATAAATGGGGATCAGAAGCCAGATCTGGTTGTAGCGGCGCCCTTTTACTTCTCCAAAAACGACGGAGGCGCTGTCTACATATATCAGAATGAAAATGATATGCTGCCCAAGAAGGCGACTCTGCGTCTGACCGGCGCCCTGGAGAGTCGCTTCGGCCTGGCCCTGGCCAACATTGGGGACCTCAACAAGGACAACTGCGACGATTTGGCCGTGGGCGCACCCTACGAGGGCGACGGCGTTGTCTATGTCTATCTCGGCTCGCGTCAGGGCCTCAACGAGAAGCCATCGCAACGCATCCAAGCCTCCGAGCTGGGTCGCAATCTGCCACAGCCCATAACCAACTTTGGCATCTCCATTGCGGCCAATACGGATCTCGATGACAATTCGTATGTGGACCTGTTGGTGGGCGCGCCGCCAGCCGTTGTAGTTCTGCTCGCGCGACCCATCATCAACATTCAGACGTCGTACCGTAGCACCGAGCTGCGTAACATCGATCCGAATCGGGCTGGTTGTCGCGAGGATGTCTCCACGAATCTGACGTGCTTCACCTTCGAGGCATGCAGCAGCATCGATCCGCACGAGCAGCAGAGCAACGAGCTCAACCTCACCTACACCGTCGAGGCGGAGACCTTTGAGCACAACAAGAAGTTCGCTCGCGTCTATTTCGACAGGGACAACAAGCGCAGCAATGTGATTAGCCGCAAGGTGCGAGTCCCCACGAACGGACGCCTCGAATGCCAACGGATCACGGGCTATATCAAGGCCAATACGCGAGACATCCAGACGCCGATACGGTTCCGCCTGGACTGTAAGCTGGAGGAGCAGGAACTCGCCGATTCACCTCTAACGCGGCTCAATCCCATTCTGGATCAGACGCAGGCCTACATCGAGTTCGAGGGCACGTTCCAAAAGGATTGCGGCGACGACGACCAATGCGAAAGTGACTTGCGACTCAGCGCGGAGCCGAATCTGACGGCCGAGGGTAAGTCAATGTAGCTGAGTATATATTACCATAATTAACATTTCGACTCTTGCTCCTACACAGATGGTAAGTACGCACTGATACAGGGCAACAAGACGGAACTGGAGATCACGGTGAACGTGAGCAACCTGGCGGATTCGGCTTATGAGGCGCAGCTCTTCATTGTGCATCAGAAGAGCGTCTCCTACATAGCGACCAAGAAGCCGGTAAGTTGATTCAGATGGCTCAGATTAGTCGGGAGTAATTTAGTTTTGGCAACTTAAACCTGCGCAGACGAATGCAACGTGCAACAGCTTTAACGAGACTATGGTGGCCTGCAGCTTGGGCAATCCGATGCTGAGAGGCACCAGGATAGATGTGACGATACGCTTCGATCCGAACAGCTTGGAGCTGCAGCAGACGGAAATGCAGTTTCATATCTTTGCGAACACCACCTCCAAGCTGGTGGGTCCACAGCTATCTGAGCGCAATGTGACAGTGCATGTGGTGCGGCGAGCGGAGCTAACAGTTCGCGGCTGGGTCAATCCAGAGCAGAGCTTTTACAGTGGCGCCTCCAAGCTGCAAGATTCGCCCATGGAGCTGAACGATGTGGGCTCGCCGCTGGTCCACACCTATTCCATCTTTAACGAGGGTCCCTCCGCGGCGCCCAAGGTGCAGCTGCTTATATATGTGCCGCTGATGCTGGAGAGCGGGCATGACAAGGATCTGGAGCAGGGCAAAGTTCAGTACTTGCAATATCTGGAGGAGAAGCCCAGCATAGAAACAGGCCAAGGCGAATGCACTGTGGCCCCCGAATATATCAATCCACTGAAGCTGGCCTCCAAGGCGGCCAGCAATCTGCGTAGCGCGCCCTACCTGATGGCTCCCGCAGCCATGAAAAAGTCGCCCTCGCATCGCCAGCAGCAGCTGAATAAGACGCACAGCTTTGTCCAGACGCAGCACTGGAGCCAGCAGAAGTCTAGCCAGGAGCACGGCCTAGCGAATCGACTGCCGCGCAGCACTTTCGAACGAATTGTGAGACCCGAACGATTCATGGACGGACGCGACTCCGGCGTCAAGAGCAAGGCACAGCAAATTGTGGAGCTCAACTGCGACAAGTTCACGGCGCACTGCATCAAGATTCAGTGCGAGTTCTATGCGATGCAAGCCAAGACCGAGGCACAAGTGACGCTTAAGGCGCGGCTATGGAACTCGACGCTGGTCGCCGAATATCCCCGCGTCGATCTAGTGCGTATCATATCCACGGCCATGGTCAAAATACCGAAGGACTTTCACGTCGAGCAGGTGGAGAACAACGACAATATTTTGGTAAGTGGCGCAAAGATCGAAAGTCGAACGATTCTCACTTATTCTCTATTGTTGCTGCTTGGCTTAGGTGGAGACACGCGCCTATCCCGAGCTTCTAGACCAACAGCGCGAGAGCTTTCCGGCGTGGATCATTGTGTCCGCGGTGCTGGGTGGCTTGCTGCTGCTCGCCATCTTTACGTATGTGATGTGGAAGTGCGGATTCTTTAAGAGGCAGCGGCCAACAGATCTGACGCTCAGTGGAAATCTGGAGAAGATGAATGAGGAGAAGCCCTTCCTTGCTGCCAAGAGTGGCCATAATGTTTTCTAACAAGAGGGTACCGTCGGCTGGGATCTGGTGCGGCGAATTGCCCCGCGGAGGAAGCGCAACAGGCTACGCCAGATGCGGCTACACTACAAGAAGCAGCAGCAGCAGCAACAGCAACAACATCAACAATATGCTTTACCCTGCATCTGCAACAACAACAACAGCAATAACAACAACGAGGACGAGGAGGAATTCGATGTGTTGTCCTTGACGCCGCCACCGCCGCCTTTGAGCTTAATGAGTTGGGGCAGCGACGGCTACTACCAGGCTAGCGCCGCCTGGTGGGGCCACATGTGAGCAGCTCAGGCTGTGCCTAAATCACAATCCAGACGCCTATGTGCCATTACGTTTACTTTAGTTTGGGCGTCCAGCTGGGCAAAGGCGAAATGGAATCTCCTTTGCCGGCCAGCTGCAGCGTCCGTTAAATCAAGACTAGTTATGAAGGGCTTTCGACCAAAGTGTCAGCATACAACAATCAATCAATCAATCAATCAATCAATCTACCAACCGATCAACCGAACAAATGTCCAATCAAACTTGAAGCTAAGATTTCTACCTCTCTCCCTCCCTCTCTCTCTCTCTCTCTCTGTCATCATCACTCGTGCTACTAAAAAAGTGACTTATATCTACTGCTTTCTATTGAAAGCAAATCGCTTGATCCATTGCTGAATACCCGAAGTTATTTCACTTGCAGTTCGTTCGTTCAAGGTATGAAAGTGGACCATAGTTATTTCCTCTATGCCATATTTCATTTAGCCAAAAGTGCACGCGCACGCTATGCTTTGTTGTCTTCTGCTTGTGTGTTGCCCTGCCGCTTGCACTGGCTCAGTGCAGGCGACCGGGCAACACACTTAGCTGTCGATCATATTCCAGCTGCCTGAGTGAAGGCTTGACTAGAGAGTTACCTAGTTTCTCCCTCTTCCTCCTCCTCTGCCTCCTCCCATACCACTTCCTGCTCTTGTTGATAACATGCTATGAACACAATTGTGCATTTAGGAAGGAGTCCAGCTTTTTTGTACTATATTTGTTATTTGTATAATGCTTAAGATCGTGACGTGAAGATTAGGTCTAAGAAACGCAAAATGATTCCAATTATTTTTTAAATAATCTGACCATTCAAAACTACTGCCACTGCCAGAAGGTACATTTCTAAACATACCTATTAAAATCCATCTCAAATACCAGATTCCAAATTCTCGAAAACGTATCTAGTTTGGAATGACGAAAGTATTAATTCTATATTCATACCAAACTACGGAGATCAACGATTAAACAAATAGTTTTTGACTCCATGTAATTCACCCCATTTGAAAGTTGGATTTTCTTCGTAATGCTAAGCTTAACTTAATTGCACAAGCAAAGGAAAACACGTTAAGAAATGAATTTAGAAATTCAATTTGTAGTTAAAAATATTGTAATTGGAGAAGCGTATGTTTAAGCTCCAAAGTGCATAGAATACATTAGGCTATAAAATTATCGATATATATATATACTTATATACATATATGCATATGTAGATATATGTTTCAGTTAATATTACATATATATATATTGTAAGTGTATATAATATTTTTTTTTCCCAATTAATGTCTTTCTACTACTTGGTAATTGTATATAGTTTCAATAATTTTAATAATTATTTCATTAATAATTTCAAATAAATTTAAACACGTTTTTTTTTAAAACTAAAACAAAGAGTGGCGCCATCTTTGCGCAACTGCAGTTACTAAATTTCTGGTGTCGCCTAAAAGTATGCTACATTTTATTTTATTTCTATGGCTTGTGATATGCTGCAAACAGCCGCTTGTGTGTTTCGATAGCAACAAACTCGATAGCTTTGGCCGCTACAGTTGAATTGAGTTTATGGACAACAAATTGCGTATAATTCGTAAAGATTTTCTTCAATCTTGGTTACTTAATATGCTAAAGATATAAAAAAATCAATTGAGCAATTCAACATTCAGATAGCCCAACATGTAGCAACTTTATTTATATATTCTATATTTCCACATTTCTAGATAATTCCAACATATATATTACAGATAGCAATCCTTGTAGGCCCACAGCGAGAATTGGCCAACACTGCAAACTGCAATTGGCGCCATCTATAAGCAGTCAGTGCAACCATAGATATTCCCACAATCCAAATTCAAATTTACGTTTGTTTTTTTTATAACGGTTTTTATTTTTGCTTGCTTATGAAACTTAAAATTCGCCATAAACTAAATGGTTTTTGTTTTTGTTTTCACTTCAAATAATTGTAATTTATTTAATTAACTATATAAGAATACGCACACAAAATCAATTAGTGCTCAATGGAAGCAACTGTTGCAACATTAACAAAATTCATGGAGTACAGTTAGAAATGTTGTTTGATACAATATGTTGTCTTTTTCGTTGTAGTTTTTGTTGTTGTTTGTACATGGTAAATATATATATTTATATATAATAAAAACGAGAAAAATTTATATTTATTCATAAGAAAAAATGTAACTGGCATTGTGAAGAAAGCAATAAGACGATAGGTCTATCGTTTATCGTTATCGATCAATGTGTAAGGGAAGACATCGTTAAACAAATTTTGATATTACATTTTTTTTAGTTTTTGTTTTCGTTGCGAAAGGGAAGAGCAAATGTGCTTAAATATTTTTTTTTGTTTTTGTTTTCAAGAACCAAAACTTAAATGCATAAAAAATTAAATAGAAATATTTATGTTTTATATGTATATATATGTGTATATATAAATCATCTAGAGTATAAGTATAAGAGATAGAATGTAAACGTAACCTTTTTCATATTTAAATACATACCAAAAAAAATATATAAAATATTTATATAAAAATAATAATGCAAAATAATATAATAATAATAAATAATAAATATGCTGCTTGCACTTGTTGCTTTTACTTTGTCTCGTTTGTTTGTTTTGTGTTTTTTTTTTGTTAATTTTTTTATTTTTAATATTTTTAATATTTTTTTAGTATTTTGTTTTGTGTATAAAATTATTGTTTTAAGGCACTTTGAGAATTTGATTTACATCCATTTTCAAGTTGTTTTTCTCTTTGTTTAATTCTTCTTCTTCAATTTGACATAAATAGTTTATATAAAAAAAAAAACAATTATAATAAATAAAGGAAAATTAATTAAATATGTGAATTATTTAGTTGTTTTTTTGTGCTTGTATAAATTAGTTGTTTTTTTACAGCTCACATATATAGATCGGTATGTATATATATATATATATATTTAGGTGTATATATATATATATATATATATATAGCTTTATATTGTATAGCTAACGTTTGAAGGCAACTCGTAAAAAATGTTTACAAAAATTAAATAATAATTTAGTTTAATTAATCAATTGCTTTTATGTTAAGGCTTAAAAAACACTTTTCCTGTTCATGCAACAAATTTGCAAATTTAGGGAAAAGAACACGCTTAATTACATAATTAATTATTAATTAACACTGTACTCAGTTTTTTTTTTCGCTTTTTTTCTTTTTTAAATATATATAAAGAAGTTGGAAAACAACAAGTTATCAACAAGGGATCAACGAAGCATGTTTGCCGATCGCGTTGTTATCGGTTATCGACTTGATGGCTTAGCGTTCATCTGCTCATCGCCTACTGTTTTCCTCCTCTTTATAAATAGTTTTAATAGTTTTTTTTTTGCATGTCGCTCTATATTTATGTAATAGATATTTGTGTTTTATATATTTAAATATAAATAGAAATTACTTTTTGTATTTTTTTTAACTGCACCCAGAAGAAAAAATTGCGTGTAAAATAAATTAAAAAAAAACTATAATTATACATATATATATATATATAAACATATATATGTTTATATAAATGTCTCTGTGTTGTTTATGATTAACAAATTTAATGTATTCGTTCCAAGCGCTTAAGCGTCAATATCGATATCGATACACATCTCGCGCAAACTTGGGGCAATATTAAATAAAATTATCAATGGTCAAAGAAATGTGTGTGTGTGTATGTGTGTGTGTTGGTTTCATAAATTATTAACAGTAATTGTTTGTATGTAAATATTTATATATGCAAAAAATAAATTATGTTTTTTCTCTCTTTACAAAAAAAATAAAATAAAATAAAAATTAAAAAATAAAATAAAATTCAAATAAAAAATTACAAATTTACGGCAAAAAAAAACTTCAAAAAAAATTTGTTGTTTTGTTTGTTTGTTTTGGAGGTATATCAAATCAACTCTCGTGGAATAACACAATGTATATATATCATAATAATAATCGCTATCGTTACCATTATCGTTACCGTTATCGCTACCGTTATCGCTATCGCTATCGCTATCGATAGAGCATAGAATTCAACTCTCAATAGATATGGATATAGATATAGATATAGATATATATACATATATATATATATTTATACATATACTTATATATATATTTATATATATATATTTACATATATTTATATATATATATATATATATATATATATATGTACACAACATTTGTTTATTACATAAAATTTAGTAATAAATTAAAGTTTTCGATTTTTTTTGTATTCCCTTTCATATTGTGTGTGTGTGTGTGTGTGTATGTGTGTGTGTGTGTATGTGTGTGTATGTGTGTGTATATGTGTGTATATGTGTGTGTGTGTGTTTGTGTGTATGTATGTTTGTGTGTGTTTTGTCTTTTGTGTTTTTTTTTCTTTTTGTTTGTAGTTGTGTTGGAAGACGCGCGCGCACCACGATGTTATCGATTGCTATCGATAGTCGGGCGCTTACTCTTTTTGTGAATGTTGCTTAACTAAGAATTTGTTGCATTTATAAATATTAAACAAAGCGACGAGTGCATTGTGAATGGATGGGGTCAAGTAGCGTGGTTCGGCGTTTGGCGTGCGGTGTGGCGCGGTCAATTGGTATCGATAGGCGCGAGCTATCGATAAATGCATGTGACATTCCACATGGTATTTGAGCAACCACGCCCACTCAGCAACGTCCTCTCAGGGCCGATCCAACTGGGGCGGGGGTGGGGGCTTGTGGTTTTGGTTACAGTTACAATAAGGGACAGGGGGCACAGTTGGCTAAGAGTTAAGTTAAAGTTTGTGAATGTACAGTCCGTGTTTTTCCTTTACTTTTCGTCTTCACTGCATGCATATATACACATATACCTACATACATACATATATATATAGATATATAGATATAGATGATATTGTCATATAGATATGCACAGATATACATACATTGATATTGATATACACACATAGACATATACGGATAGATATATATATATGTATATATATTTCGTCGAGGGGCAAAAGATTTGCGAAAGACAGACAAAACAGAAAGTGAGTGAGAGTGAGAGTAAGAATAAGAGGACGAGGCAGAAATAAAAAGAGAGGGAGAGGGAGGGAGAGAGAAAGAGAGAGAGAGAGAGAGAGAGAGAGAAACAGAGAGAGAGAGAGAGAGTGGGTAAGTGAGTGTGTGTGTGCGTGTGAGTTCCCATTCTATGGAGAGTGGAAAGTAGAGAATGGAGAGTGGAGAGTGGAGACTGGGGAGTGGGTGAATTTGAATTTGAATTTGAATTTGAAATGTCGAGTTCTTTCCATCCACCCTCGCGATTTACAAGAAGTTCTCTTGTGGAATGATCGGGTATCGATTAATTGTCTGAGATTTTTGCATTAGAATTGTGGCAGCAGCCGTTGTGGAGCTTAAGCGATTGAAGACGGGCAGCCGTGGCGCCTCCTCGTGTTGCTGTTTGTTGCAGCTGCTGCTGTTGCTATTGTTGCTGCTGCTGCTGTTGCTGTTGTGCTCGAAATGCTGCGCCGACTGCGACGTTGGGGGCGGCGTATGCACCGGCGAAATGGGCGCGTTTGGGCTATCTGGGGGCGTGGCCGGCGCCAAGCCGCACGCCGAGGATGTGGATGATGCCGATGAGGCATGCCCATTGGCCGTACCGTTACATGCATTGGGCATATTCAAATAGGCAGCCGCATCGTGGAATGGAAAATTTGTCAGCGAATTTGTGGGCGAGAGGGAGAGCGAACCGGTTGGCGATTCGCGATCTGAACCGGTGCTCATGCTCAGTGGCGGACTTAGCGGTAAAAAGTATTGAGTAATGTTTGTGTTGTTGTTGTTGCTGTTGTTGTTGTTGTTGTTGTTGCTGCTGTTGTTGTTGTTGTTGTTGGTGTTGCCGTTGGAGAGTTGCGTTGGCTTCTGGAACGCTTTGCCGGCCTGTTGTTGTTGCTGCTGCTGTTGTTGCTGTTGCTGCGCACGCGCCTCGTCCGCATTATGCACGAAATGGCAACGCGGCCCATAGGGACAGAAGCCAACACTGTGAAAGGTGCGACAATATTCGGTCTTATACTTCGGATGACGCTGCAAATTGCGCAACTCGTGATAGCCATGGGCGAATTGGCATTTTTCGCCGTATTTGCATTCGCCAGCCTCCTCATAGGGACGACACAATTCCGTCTTGTAACTAGAAAGAGGGAGAAAGAGAAAGAAGTATAGCAAACATAAGTTTCTTGTTCAAACTAAACTTTCGCCTGCCACCTACTCGTTGCGTGTATAACGTAGACTGCTTAAGTAACACACTTACACACACACACACACGCTCTTGAATTCGCTCCAATAGCGGCCTACTATTTACTAGCCTTTATTTAGAGTTGCACAACACAAAAGTTCAGTTGAACTTGAGAAGCCTTTTACTAATTAGTGAGAGTGAGATGGCCTGACCACATACATGTTGCGTTCTGCAACCTATCAGTGTTGCCCATTAGCTAATTTCAAGCTACATCTAGCTTCTTGTTTCCATTAAAATAGACTAACTACTTAACAGCTTTGACATTTATGTAATAACCAACTTTCTTTTTAATATTGGTTGTTTAATTAGCTTTGTCCTATAATGTTATGTAGATAAACCTCGACTGGTTAGAATTATTAAAATGTTTTTATTAACTACTTTTTATTTAAGCTATTTCAAGCTTTAAAATCCAACCAACACTGCGGACGTTCTTCTCGACTTTAGCTATATTCACATCAAACCGAACTTCGACTAAAACATGTTGCTCAGACGTGTTGCGTCCGCTTGTCCACAACAGGATACAAGTGAGCCTCGCCGCACGGGAAACGAGTTATTACCAAAAAAAAAATTTGGATTGAAGTTTTGAAATTTGTCACGTTTTCGTTAGACTAATAAAGTTGGTAATAAGAATGCTTTTTATCTTCACTATAAAATATTTGTTTTGTGCACCACATTAAAATTTGTTTATCACATGGCAACCCTGTTTCAACACTTTCATACAGAATACAATGCAATGCAACCTGTCAGGATCGGTTCGATGTGCAACAAGTTCAATTGGAACTATTTTGACAGTTTCACTTACCGCGATGTATTCATTGGCTGCTGGGGTGGCAGCGGCTCCGACTGTGTGCGCTCCAATTTGCGATGCAACGTTATGTTGCTCAGATTCTCAATGATGGTCACCAGCGATGTAACTGCCGGTTGCTGCTGCTGTTGTTGCTGCTGCTGTTGTTGCTGTGCCAACTGGCTTAGACGTTGAGCCGGCTGTGAGATGGTACGAGTTAACGGACCATGCAAACGTTGATGCTGATTCAGGAGCTGTTGATGCAGCTGCTGTTGTTGTTGTTGCTGCTGCTGCTGCTGATGATGATGAAGATCCTTATCGCTTACGTGCTGATCCATGCTGGCATCCAGGATGTGATCCGGTTGCTGTTGCTGTTGCTGCTGTTGCTGCTGCATATCACTGACAACCTGCAATAACACGAAGCAAACAAGCAAACAATTAATATGAACTGAGCTTTCGCATAAACCAGCGTAGCGTCTCTCTCTCTCTCTCCCACCTCTCTGCAGGTAAATGGGCGCACATTTTGCAAAGACAACGACAAAATGTAGCAAATGGGCAAAGGAGACAGAGGAGTAAGCAGAGCAGCGACAGAGACGCACACACACAATACTTTTACTTTTAACTTGACCTATAAGTAAAGTGTAAAGAGTAAAGAGCAAAAGCAAAAGCAAAAGGCGCTCACTCAATTGCTGATTGTCTAGCTGGTGCTGTCGGCGTCGAAGTCGACGTCTGCGTCAACGTCTAAAATTAATTTTAGGCTGCCGCAGCAGCAGTCACTTGTAATGGTAATGATATTGCAAAAAAAAAATAAATAAATAAATAAAAAAATAAATGGCAGCCAAATGTTATTTTTATATGTATATATGTAATTTTCCAGCCATTAACCAATACAACAACAACGGCAACATTAACAACACGCACACGGACATGGCGGCTGCGACGGCGCCGCAAGCTCTCCACACAGCTGCTCAATACGGCATTGCCCGTTTGCTCTCGCTCTCCACTCTCCACTCCCTGCCCGCTACACCCTTCGCAGCGAGCAGCCAGCCCACTCGCGCTAGCAGACTTGGCGTGTGTCGTCATCAGTTTCAATTTTTTCTTCTTCTTTCTGTCTTTCTTTCTGAATTGTTATTGCCATTGTTGTTGCTGATGTTCATTTTCGTGCGATGCTGTAACACGTTATGCAACCAACCAACCAGCCAGCCAACCAACACACACACACACACACAGATACACACACGCACTCAAGCTGTCTGAGCGAAAGAGAGAGGAGCTGCCAACAACTAACAACAACAAACAACAGCGCCAATTACATATGTATAGAGCTCAAGTTCAAGCCAACAAAAAACACATACACTCACACACACACAAGTACGCACACACAACACGAACTCGAACACGAACACCAAACACAGCGCAGCAGCAAACGGCTCAAAAGCAAAGCAAACGAAGACGCCGTCGCGGCCAAAAAAAGCACAACAAAAACAACGAGACTTAATTTTTGGGACTCAGCAGCCGTTCGTTAAGGAAAAAAATAAATAAAAAAAGCAACAACTAGCCAAACTGGTTATCACTTAAGACACACCACACACACACACACACATACACATGCACATGCAGAGCGGACGAATAAGACGCGTGCGCGGCCGGCGGGCACTTGCCTGTTAAGCGCTGCTGTCAGTTGCCTTTGCAGATCGTTACAGAAGCAAAAAGCTTTTCGATGCGTGCAATCAGGGGTCAGTCGATACTTGAGAGTTTTGAGTGATTTCATAGATAGCTTATCGCTTGCACTGAATCATGAAGTTTATAAATAATACCCATTATCGAATTTGGCAATCAATGTCTGACATTAGTCGTCTTTTACTCGACATTCATTGTACAACGTCGGCTCAGCTGTTGCTGGTGGCAACGCTGCGTCAGCAACAAGTCTGCGCAACAAGTTAGCAAACTTTTACGACTGTTATGACCAACTTCGCGCTTACGGCATCATTTGCGGCCTCTTAAAGCTTTGCTTGCATAAAGTACCACACACACATACACACATACAAACACACGCATGGAAAAAGGCAATCGCTTGTGAGTGGAAGCGAGGTAGAGCGACGCCGACAGCGGCACCGCCGCCGTCGCAACGCTCAAACGTGTTCAAAAACAACTTCAAGTTGGCCGCGCATTCATCTCTGCATGTGTGCGCATGTGTATACACGCATACATATATAAAGATTTGTGTATGTATGTATGCACAAAAGACAAGATAAACAGGAGTACAGAGTACAGCCCGCGATACCCGTATACCCTGTGCCCAATTCGGCAATCAGGCTTATGCAGAGAGGTGTGGAGCGAGTAGGAGCCGTGTAGCCGGCCTATACAATGAAAAGCAGACAAATAGATCAGAGCGCCGCTGCGACCGCGACAGCGACGTCGACTGAGGCACTCTTGCTTGTAGCTGTGGTTTTTGCTTTTGCTTTTTGCGCTATATACGCATTAGTTGTGTGTGTATGTGTATGTGTATGTGTATACGGATAGGCAAGTCTACAAGTTTTCTGTTTGTCTGTCTGTCCGTCTGCCAGTGTATGTGTGCTGCTCGCTACATCTTTCATCTAGGTGAGAATTTCCCTTTCATTTGAAAATGAAAATAAGTTTACTTTTCTTTGCAGTCTGCGTGCTTCTACTTTGTGTGCATGTGTGTGTGTGTGTGTGATTGTGCGGTTGGCAACATTTGCTTTGTAGACATGTTGCGCTTGCTGTGTTGCTACTGAGAGCTTTTATTGCCGCTAAGACCTTGCCTTGATTCTGCTTAGTTTTTGCGTTTTCTCTCTTCGTGCTGCGCTCTGCCACCAGTGGAAGAGCTTGACGAAGTTCCGGTTCAATTTAGCACATCAACTCCCAATTTGACATTTTATCATTGTTTTTTTATTTTTTTGGTTTCAGCATAACAAATCACACATATGATTACAATATATATGTATATGTATGAACGTGTGTGTGAACGAGTGTGTGTTTGTATTTATGTAAATATGTATTGGACGCTGTTAGGTAAGATTTTGTTGGTGCTGCCTTTGTGGCTTGTCTTGGCTTGGCTGCTGTTGCCTTTGCTGTTGTTGTCTCGTAAACACGTTCGCGCACACACATACTGATAGACTTGTAGCCAGGTGTGTGTCTGTGTGATGCTGAAGACTGCCTGACTGACTAACTGGTTTATAACACCAATAACAACGACAACGACAACTGCGACGGCGACGGCGACGTCGACGACGCAATATCCATAACCTCGATGAGCTAACACCAATACAAGCGCAGCACTGCGTGGAGAGTCAGTGTTAGAGCGAGAGAACAACAGAGTCGCGCTTTATTCTGCGCACACAGATCAAAGCTAATGGAACAGGTAGAAGGCGGCTGAAGCAGGGGGTGGGATGCGGGTGTCTAAACACACACACATACATATACACGAACTGCGAATTGAAAATGAATACATAGTTATTATAGGTGTTATTTATACTGCTAAGGTAAAACCACCAACAACAACAACCTGCACGAACAGGTAACAAAACAAAGCTGAAAGGGAATTGGGGGTGGGGCCCAGAGGGGAGACTAATGGCGCTTATATACTATATGTATTTACATACATATTATATACACATACAATTATATATAGATAGGACTGGAAGGGGGAATAACATTAGCAATTAGTTACGAGTAGCTGTCAAAACTGGAAATTTCGCTGGAAAGCAACAGCAGCAAGTAGCAGCGACAAATTTAGCGTCTAAAGATCGAAAATAATGGAAAAACAAACAGTAAAAAAATCAAGTTCTTTATAGACATACATAGATATATCAATTAAAACCTGAGGGATTTTTAAGAGGAACCGATTCAAGCGAACAGAACTGCATTCTAGACTTAATACAAAACAGCCGATAAACAGCAAGCTCGAACTAATCGATAAACTTATAATGCAAAATCATTTCGAAAAAGTTTCCACTCAGATAACAGAAATCGAAACGTTCGCTCCTTCCTTCACGTCGCTCTTTGTCATTCCAGTCGCTAGCCAGCACTCCTTGGCCAACGCTCAACAACAACAACTCCAAACACACCCCATATACTCCTTCAAAGCGGACTCAATTCCTTACTCCCTTCTTTCGTCTCCACTGCCCCACGTCGATCGTTTTAATTGTCGCAAGGCAAATTTGACTTGGTAATTAACACATGGGGCGCCCAGTCAGACGATCGCAACGACGTCGGCTGCGACCCAGGCAGCAGCTCCATCGTTTGTTTACCCCCCTCTACCTCAGCCAACCAGCAGTGCAACAGCTTTACCCCTAAACAACAGCAACAACAATAGCAGCTGGTCAGCAATTTGGTGGGGGTTGGAAATGTGGAATGGCATGGCATGGCATGGCACGGCATGGAATTCAACTGGGGCAGGAGGTAGAGAGGATAGAGAAGGCAGGGCGAGATATGGGCACGTTGCTCAATCAATCGACAGTCGGTCGTTGGGTCCAATCGCAGTTGTTGTTATTGTTTCTGTTGTTGTTGGTTACTGTTTCTAAGTCGTCTCTGGCTGCTGTCATCCATCCAGTTGGCGAGTAATCAATGCACACACACACACACACACGCACACACATAGAAACTTGCAAGTCAAATATAATTCAACTCACTGATAAAGCACACAATGCGACGTGACGTTTGCAAATATACGTGTGCATGCAAGAGCGTGAGTATGCGTGTGTATGTGTGTGTATCCGCGCGGGTGCTACAGAGAACAGGATCGCCAAAGTGTAGAGAATGAAGCAATGCATATACATATTGTATATAAACATGCCCACACACACACACACACATACAAACACCCATGCACTTAAATGGCGGCAAGCGTGTGAGAGAGCAAGAGTTTGTGCATTTTGGCTAACTGTAAGCATACATTTCGCAATGCACACACATGTATGCATGCATACATACATATGCACATACGTATATCTGCAACTCAACGACGTCTCTAAACTTTGTCGTTAAATTTCGTAAAAGAAAAACCCAAGTAAAAAATCAAAATGCACACAAAAAATAAACCAGCCAGACAACAACAGCAAAAGCAATTGCCACGTTATTATTTACATAATGTTGCCAAAGGCTGCGACGCAACAAGTAACAAGCACAGCATGTACGAAAGGGCAACGAGAGAGGGTGAGAGAGAGAGGGGGGAGGGTATAGGTAGGGCGACCAACTTGGCCCATCCATCGATTGAGGTCTAGGTCGAATTAAGCATTTCACATTTTCGTGTCGTTTTCATTGTGCGTCCGTTGTTAATATTTGGTAAGCACACACACACATATACATGTAAACCCATAGGCAAAGCAGAAAAGCAAAAGCGCTTGGCGCGCATGCGTGCAAGCGAGAGGCAAATGTTAAGCAATGA